CATCCTTTGCCATCATCTGACATTCCTACTTCATGGAATTACCTCAGATCTCTGTCTCCATCAAATTTTCGGTGCTAGCCACAAATTTGGTAAAAGAGAATGTGAAATAAAAGTAAGAAAATTCAAGTAAACCTGTTACTTTTCTTTTAAGCTCAAATATATTTCTTAAGGCTAAACATCCTAAGCAAGACACTCAAATTTCAACACTTCTCTTTATAACCTTTGCTTTGTATCTAGCTCCAGAGGGAAAATTGTGTTTACAAGAACACGAGACACGTGAAAAGCAATAACCAAGATAAATGAAAACTGGCTGGGCTAAGTTTTAGTCAGAACTTTATTGCAAAGAACTGGGTTTTACGAGATGAAGAAATCTACTTGTTCTCGTCTCCCCTAGTGCCACACTTTGAAAAACCAAACATGATTAAACTATTCTTTTAATGTCATCACATCATTTACAAGGAGCTTAAGAAAAACGGTTTGCATGTAGGCAGAGTACACTACAGAGGAGTTGTGTGGTGTGGCACCCAATGTCAAAAGTAAAGGTTCCGTTTCCAGTGTTGGCCAAGTCGCCAGCACAGACTTTTCCCTACCAGCCTGTGGGGTCTGTTATCTGATGCAACTCAAAATCTTCTAAAAATGTAAAGCCAGTTTTTAAAAGACAATAGCAGAAAAGAGAGAGAATTAATTATCATCTCTTTTATATTCTAGAAGAGAAACAATAAAGTGCTGTGTCAGAATCATTTGGTTATTTTCATGGTGTGAACTCCAGAAAGAGGAAATGAGAGTTCTGGGGAGAGTGTCTATGAAGTAGGGAGGGTCAGAACTGATGCAGAATCTCTGATGGACCCATGATGTGTTCACTTACTCTAACTGGCAGGCATTCCAACACAGACACCTGTGGCTGGACAAACTAATCTGTATCCCCAAGTCACCTGGAGATTATTTAAAGATCCAAAAGCCCAGAAAAAGCACCTCTAAAACTATTAGATAACATTTTTTTTTGGAATAAAATAAAGAATCAGAGCTTTCTTTCTTTCTTTCTTCCTTCCTTCCTTTTTTTTTTTTTTGATGTTCCCCACACCAAACAAATTTTCCTCATGTTGGAGACCTCCATAATTGTGAGCACAGAGAATCAGAAGGAGAAAGAAAGGAGAAAAGCAAATAATCACCAACCCAATGCATACATCTCTCTGTACAGAAAGTCTTGTCCAGATCCACACACGCCCCCCCCACACACATTTGCACTTTCTGAAGCTTGATAAACAGAATGCTGAAGAGACCATTAGAAAAGTACATGACACAGTGTGCTGACATTCGACATGCTCTTCTTTAAGAATGGTGCTGATTTGGGAGAGCACAGAAGGGAAGGGGTGTCTTAAGACAAATCCAAAACAAGCTTATGCAGACTCCAAAGTGATAAATTGTCAGCAACTAGAAAGAGATGTTTGAAGAATGTCAATTTGCTTGGCCTCCACTACCACAGTGCCTCTCTGAATAGGGCAAAGGTCATTAAAATCTTGTACTAATTTCAACGATGGAAAAAGAGGGAGACTGAAGAAATCCTCCAAGATCCTGTAATTTCAACCCTAATGCAAAGACTTGGTGCAGCTAATTTTCCAATTACACATACTATTTATACACGGCCCAGATCTCTTTCTCATCACACAGCATGTTTTTGTCCCATGAGTTCTTCCTACACTTACATGGTTTTGAAAACCACTTCTGGTGTATGCATCCCATTGGTATGGAATATGACAGTCAAAGCGTTGACAGTGCGCACAGCACCACCTGTGCACTTAGCTTAAATCTACAGAAATCTTTTATCCTTTGGAAGAGTGAGATTATTTTTGTGCCATACAAATGGGAGAATGTCCCAGATACCAGATGATGGAGCCCCTGAGAGACCATAATATAAATGTGCTTATGAACACTACAAAATTTGGCTTCAGAGATACCTCTGGGTTTGGCAGAGCTTCCACAGACATGGGTGAACAGTGGGGCTGTGGCCACTAAGCACAGTAGTCTAGGCAAAGGGTACAAGGCAGGAAGCATGTCCTTCCATTTGCAATCACATTAGACTGACTCAACAAGTCCCCTCACAGGAAAAGTGGATCAGGAGTGCTCCATCCATTTATGTGGCACAAAAATGGGTGTGCTTCAGTGCTGTAGCATAGAATTAAGCAAATTATGACAACTTTTCAAGACTTAAGGTCCAGCTACAGAACACGTTTTCCTCAGTGTTGGCTTCAGTCACGTAGGGTCATTTCAAAATTTATGACAGGCCAACCTTAGGCGAAGCATCACCTAGCTAAACATTTTCTGAAGAAGATACAGGTAAAGGAAACAGGACACTGCAGGAAAACATGGACCGGATTAACTTGGCAGGTCTCTTGCATCCTACATTCTGCTCTGGCTCTATCATGCAGTGAAGTCACAATACATCTGTGACAGAATAACTCTCCTGGCAACTGGCTGACATCATAAACACCAGATTAAGACTTGGCTGCAAAGCCACAGGAGATGATGGGCTGGGAAGAAAGAGGCTATAATTCAAGCAAACCTCTTCCATAACAGCGATGTGCATACTAAACATTACTGGCCAAGTGAATTGCTTTTTGTGTAAGTATTCTCTTTTTTGAAGTTTGCCCCAATGTGAAAGTCTCTCTGTAAGTTGGAACCTTCACATTATTTTAATGTACTGCTCTGTATTTAACAATCGTAGGCTTCAGACATTAGTCTGTTACCATGGGAATGACAGTACCACAAATACAGGATTATGGCTATCAAGCAAGAGAAAAGAAATTATGAATAAGCCTCGTTATGTTCAATAATTAGCAGCTACATGGAAAAAAACAAAACCATGAATTTAGGTTGATGCATTTATCTCAGAGTTTGAATACAACTCTGAGTATGTTACTGCTTTAAAATGAGATTCCAACCAACTGCCAAAAAGTCCTTGACTAACAGTTGTTCCTTGGGAGTACAATGTAAGAGCCCATCCTGTCCATCTTTCTTAGGTTTTTCCCTGCAGAAGGCTGGGAGCTAATGGGTAATACACAACATCCCAAAATGGATGTTGCTATCTTCAACCAACATATTAGGGAGAACAATTGTAAGCACTCTTGACCCCTCTACCTTGGAATAGCTTCCAAAGAGAGACTGTTTCCCACAGTGGAGGGTCTGGACATGGAGACAAAGAATACCAACACTAAGCACAAGGCCTCTTCCCAACCCAAGCAGGACTAAAGAAACAGCCTGCCATCAGGAAAGCAAGGACTTGGACCCACCACCAGGCTGACATATAGCCCCATGTAGGTCTTTGTTATCAAAGACTAGATTTCATCATCTTTGAAGGGGAACAGCAGAATGTGAAACTTTAATTTTAATCAGCAAGTGATCCATTTAGTGCAAGACCTTTTCTCTCTAAAATGAGGTCACTGTACTGCATTGTTAACATGAATAGCTAAAAAAAATGTGCATTTATTGTGCAGGGACTTTATTAGTAACTTCAGGGAAGATGAACAAAATGGTGGACAAAGATTCTGAGACAACCAGGCCACTAGACTTACAGTTTCTAAGTCACATCACCAAGGCTTTCCTGAATATGTGCAGGCAAAGCACATTTCTGGACTCTGGGCTTCCTGTAGAATCAGCCACCTCTCTACAAAGTGCATTCCTCATTATCCAGGCTAAATCAGGCAGCAAGAACAAAATCGTTACCACTATTAAACCAGGAAACATTCCACCAAGATCAACAGCTCCATGGTACTTACTGATGCCAAAGTCCTTCTCCCATGGGTTTTCTGCATTCTATGCCAATGGCATAAAACATCATTGGAGGGAAGTAATTTTAGAACGTTCTATCCAAATTAACTGGTCTTCAATAGGCTCTGATTAAAATATAAAGGGCTTTTAAAATAATTTGAAATGATTCACTGGAACTAATTTGGAGATATTTTAATCTCTAGATGTGCAATGAACTGTGGTCTCCCTTGGCCTCAGCCTCTCCACAGGCCTTGCCATTGGGTTGAAGCACACAAGCTAAAACACCGGTGCCTGTAATTCTCCAGCCCTTCAAAGACTTGTGTCTTCCAACTCAGGCGCAGCTCACTCCCACTTTGGAAATTCGTCTACGCATGCTTCTGCTTCCCAGTGGAAACTGCTCATCTGTTTACAAGCCCAGACTGTTAGATGATTCTGAATGCAACAATGTGACAAGTATTTAAAGAATTGCATGAGATAAACAGTCTCAGCTTACATTTTCCACTCATTTGTATAAATCCCATTTTTGATGAAACAAAGGCATTTGTTTTCCAAGATACTGTCCCAAAACAGTCACTGATTCTTCAAAGGCCACTTGTGAGATAACACCTAAACCCACCTGAAGTGGGCTTTTCTACTATGGCTAGCAAGCTCAAGGACATGTTTGCTGCTTGGAAAGTACCTCTTTAGACTCACTACAGATTCCTTTACAAAATCCCTGTGTGCCTGGATTCCAAGATTCTCAGAATCTCAGACAAAGACACTTGAAATACCAGGCACAGAGTCAGTCTCCATTTGCCCATACTGTAGAGCTCACTGTCACTAGGCATCTTGATAAAAGGATGGAGCTGGAAAGAAAGAAGAAACTAGGTCTGTGTTCTGGAACACCAATTTAGTCCTCCTGGGATACAGCAAACATTACTATACATACCTAAAAATGGGAAAAATTGAGAAAAAGAAACACTACAGCCAACCTTCCACATAACTAACAGTGGGGAGCAAAGCTTCCACTAAGCCGGCTCCAAAATCCAAGTTCCTTCTGCACCACTCGAGATGCAGCATTCTTGAGATCAGAGATATTTCCGTGCCTTTTTACTCCTATGTAGAATCTCAGAGCATGCTCTTATGTAAAACAAGTAATGGTAAGAGGAAACTGACTTTCAAGAAATTACCTAGGTTCTTCTTGAAGGCAGCCCCGTGCCCACAGCAGCACAACATACATGAAGACTAGGACTTACTACCACGTAGCAGAGGCAGGGATGGAGTCTTAAACATGCATCCGTTCTGACTGTGGTAACCAGGCATTAAACTGTCACTTACCTAAAAGGAAAAGGAGAGAAAACACCATTATTGTAAATATAGGAAGTGACTCCTCGAAGGCTTTATAACTACTGGAAACATTAAAGAGACACCTTCATTTCATAATCGGCACACCCTAATCCCAGTGGCAGAGAGCTTTTTTTTTTGTATCTCCCAATTTTGCATTCTCTGTTGCTAGGTGTTTAAATTCCATTCTTTTTCTCACTTTAACCTGGAACAGCCTTTATCTTTTTGAGATGAAGGAACATTTTTTAAAAATTGATGAATCCTCTGTCCAGAAAATTACACAGACACCTCTTTCCATGTAAGTTCTGTGGTTCACTGTCCTCCACAGTCTCCCCATTGACCTTATGATGAACACCTGTCTGACAGGAGACAAGATGAGATTATCTCTGAATCTACAATACAATTCAAATTTGCATCAGAACCCCATATAAACCTTAAATTCCTGAGCTGGGAAGATGGCTCTGTCAGTAAAGTACCTGCTGCATAATCAGGAAGAACTGAGTTCATATCTCTGAAACCCACATAAATAGCTAAGCATGGCACAGCATAACTATAAGCCAGCATTGGAAAAGCCAGGGGCAGGAGAATTCTTGAAGCGTGTTGGGTAGCCAGTATATCAGAATCCATGAGCTTCAGTATCAGTGAGAGACCCTGTCTCAAGAAATAAACAATTGAAGAAAAACATAGGGCATCCAATACTGCATACACACACACACACACACACACACACACACACACACACACACACACACACACGTATATATATGCACACACATCTGTACATACATATATGCGGGTGCTCAAATATACGCACACAAATTCTTAAAAAGCCTGTGGTTTGTGTGCAAAGTCTTGCTCCTTGCAAACAGAAAATACACCTTCTTTTTAAGCATATGTGACATGGACACAAAAAGTTGATCAATGCTAAATAGCAAACAAAAAAAAAAGTCTCTTTCTTGAGAGGAGTAAAGCCAAGTATTTGGTCACCAACTACATCTGCTATTTTTAATATTCAAACTTGAAATAGTTTATAAATAAATTAAGCAAAGTATTACCAAGAAAACCAGAGCAAGAAAGGCTAGGGGTGGGAAGCAGAGACAGAGACAGAGAGGTTACAGTGGAACTGTGGCCAGTCTTAGCAGGACATAGGCTCATAGGGTAAAAGCACTTGGGAAAGAAGCCTCACACTCCCTGGATCTCAGGATAGAGGGTGGGAACTAATTTAGAAAGTTCTCTGTTGACTTAAACACACACATACATATGCCAGAGATGCATGCAATAATAAGTCATTTTTAAAGATTTATTTTCATTTTATGTGTATGAGTGTTCGTCTTCACGTAAGTAAGTATCAATCAAGTGATGCACAATGGAACAGAACAACAGCTCAAAAGCTAACCAATAGTTCATGGAAACTCGGTATAGAATGAACACTATCTTGCAGATTACCATGGAACATAACATGTATATAATACATATACATATACATACACAGACACACACACACACACATATATATATATATAGCATTTGCAAAGATGCTCTCTGCATCATATGTCACCAAGCAAATACCAGTTACAATAACATATCAATGCCCACCTTTAAAAATGGTTCAAATCCAAGA